AACCAGACCCCCCCCCCCCCGCACAACAAAGCTCTGCCTCATCAGAGAGGGTTTTTTTTCCTTTTGTTTACATTCTGCTGAGTGGTTGGTGGGCACATCTTTTTTTTTCTTTTTGTTCAAAGCAGCAAACTCGTTTTTGCTCCCGATCTCTGAGCATGAAAGCTTTGCTGGAGTTGGCCTACTCCCTTTCCATTACCTATTAACTCTTCTTGAGGACCTGTGGTAGTGCTGGTACAACCTCAAAGAGGCAGGCACTCCCATGGAAACAACCCATTTGGAAAAGGAAGCTGGACTTGGAAGCATCCCCTGCAGTTTTTAAAACCTGGCATTGATGATATTGTTCTTCTCTGATCAAATACTCAGAAGCGCATGGATGGGAAAGCAAACAATCTTGTGACAATTAGCTGTTGCTGGCAAATGCTAATATTTAGCATTTGAACTGTCTGCTGATGTGAAGTTGGAGAACAAGAACATGACCGGGATTTCCCATGTTTTCTTTAAGCTGGTAAAGCAGTGATGGGGCACAGGGCCGGGGTAAGATCTGGGTCACTCACAGTACAGAGTGAGGTTTGTCCCTTGTGCTGTTTTCTCAATCTTAATTGCACCCCTGAACCTGTTATTTGCATTGCAATGAAAACCATATAGGTACCATACCTATACCTCCCCTGCAGGGCCACAAAGCAATTGGGAAAAGGGTTAAACTTCTCTCCCTCAGTACCGTGGTCGTAAACCGATTGACAAGGGTCACATGGCTGCTTTGACCTTTAAAAAAATGGGAAGTCCTGACTGCAGATCTCTTTTGTGTGGTCTCACTGCAAATGAATCTTACAGAACCCCCACCCAGCATTGTCCAAGAGGCCCTTCTTCCTGACAACGGATGTGACAAAATCCATTTCCTCCTGGAAGGCTGGTAAGCAGCAAGCTTCTGCTGTGCATTTTAAACGTTTTTCCTCTTTCTGAGCTGAGACTAGGCTGGGAAGGAGGAAGGTCCGTCAATGGCTTTTCAGGCTCACCTTCTTACAAACACTAATGGATCTGGCAGGGGAGACAATGGGATGGGCCAGATCACTTCCCCCTTCTGTGAGCAGGGAATAGAGGTTTAGAGGTATGAGGATGTTAGACAGTCTCCAGGAAGCACTTCTCTGACCTAGGCTGACCTGGTCAAGGGGGGTGGGGAAAGGTAGAAGATAAAACTCCTGGGAGCAAGGAGGAAGCTTTTTTCCCCCCTTTGGGAAGCTGCTTTCTGGAGAGGACACACAAGAGACTTCCCTCTGAGCAGGCGGCCATTGACCATGTGGCCAACCTGAAGGGCTGAAGGATGTTTTCAGGCAACGGAGACTTGGTTGAGATTTGTAACTGCCTAAGCTAGAAGAGCCTGTCCTATTTTAACGTCAGATAAGGCATGTGTAGCAAGAGGGATGGAGGATTTGCATTTTTACCCATTTATTTTGGATTCCCTTGCTCAAATCTGGTACTGTGCTAAAAGTATGCTTGTATCCCTTTTCTTTTTAATAAATATTTTAATCTTTTGATACTGGTAGTGGTTCTCTGTACCACAGAGACCTCCACTATTTTAAAAAGGGCCCCAGGGGGGTTGGCAAGTGGCTATTCCTTCAGGGGTGCCCAAGGCATTAATCTGTCCCCGTGGTAGCCAGGTGCTGGGCAAGCAGGAGACATAGAGGCCAGGCCTCTGAATGTGGAAGGGAAGCTGGGAGTCCTGCCCATCCCAGCGGGCAATTCCTCAAAAAGGGCAGGTGATGGTGCTGCATTACCCTAGAGAGGAAGAAAAGCCCCTCCAGGGAGTTAGGAACCCCTAGAAGGGCAGGGCGGAAATGGGGCCTGCAGGCCAGAGCAAGCACATTCTGTCACATGACCATCTGGAATTCCAGGAGCAAGTGCTTTTCTCACCCTTTCCGCAGAGTGATGATATTGTCTCGGATCTGCTTGCAGATGCCAAACTTAAACTCGAGGCAACCTTTGTTCTCAATGGTGAAGCTGCTGCTCTTCCTGGAACCATGCATCATGGGTCCAAAGCTGATGAGTGAAGGAGGGGAAATATTGTATTTGGCGAACAATGAATGAACCGTCAGTCTCACTGGAATGCTGGCAATGATCTCCCCTCCTTCACACAGGCTGGGCTCAATAACCTAGACAGAGGATGACAGATGAAGCCAACAGATGGATCAGTTCTTGCGTGTTCTAAGGTCATAAAAGAAAACATTTCCCAGTACGTCAAACATCTCCCACTAGAAGCAACACTCTGCTAAGGCCTTTGTACTTCTTTACTTTGGATTCTATGTAAAAATACTAGGGAATTCTCTCATACACTTTTCTCTACTGGAGGAAGTTTTAATAGATCCAGACAACCTGAACCTCGTTCAGAAAAAGCTTCACTGGCATGGATGAGACCTACATCACCATAGATGGGTTATCTTTCCTAAAAGGAATGTTTGGCCAAGGGCCAGAAGACTAGCCATAGCAAGTATCCATAGCAAGTATCACCCATGTTTTGTACCTCTCCCTACCAAAACTAGCCAGGGATGCTGACTGGAAACCTCAGAAGTTCATGTAAAAACAGGATACCCTGCAATGTCATGACTTATTCATTCTCAGGGCAACTATCACAATTTAACTTGGCTGTGCTTTGGTTATTAGAGCTCTGCTATTTTGCCTAGTATACTGATAAACAGGGCAGGCTGTCTTGATTAACAAGCACCTCAGTTGCTGATTTTGCATCTGGCAAACAAAGCCTGCATGGAGCAACAAGCAGAGGTCAGGGGCCCCAGTATTGGCAACCAGTAGCTCTCCAGCTTGTAGGGTGCTGGGTGAGCCAGATCTCCAGAGGAACACACTTGCTTCCACCCAGTCAGAAACTGTCTCTGTTTCCTGACAGGTACAGAAAAGGTGGATGAAGCAGAAATGCCCTGACTGAGAAGCTTGTACTGTTCCAACCCACAGGGTATGATTCAAGGGCACTCTGTCAGGAGTTTCAGCTGTGCATGCTCACATGGAAATACAAACAGAATTGCACCATTTCAAGGGGCATTAAAAAAAAAAACCCTCACTGCACACACAAAACTGGTATTAAAAAAACCTCAAACACTTGGTCCCTAACCTGTCTGCAGTGATACCAAGTTTATACCTCACAAGAAGCTACAGGTTTTCTATGGCTGCGGTCACATGGAGCATTAGCCACACTACAGAGAAGGAAGATAGGCGGATTTTCCAGGTGCAATCACACTGCAACATCTGGGAAGCGTAGAGCTCCCATGGCTAACCCGAGGCTTCCCGCCGAAGATGCGGCGTAAAAAACTAGTACCTCCGAGGTACTAGTTTCTGGAAACCGCGGGGCAAGGGCGGGCGTCTGATCGTGTTTCCGGTGGTAGTTCATGTTATTCGGTGCCCGCCCATGTCCTGTCACAAAAAGGTGTTTTTTTCCAAGTCTCCATGGGATGCGCATACGCACCCAATGGTGCATGTGCACACTTCGGTTAAAAAACAACAACCCCGTTTGCCACGGCAGCGGCGCCTAGCCATTGCTGCTGTGATTGCGCCGCGCCGCAGGATTGTCCCGTGATCGGCACCTCCCTCCGAACCATGGGACGTCGGCAGGACTTGTGATCTGGCGGCCGCACATTAGTTTGCTCCGGGGCAAACAGTCATGCTTCCCTCCCACATTTTCCAGCCCGTGTGACCGGGACCTATGTTAGCATAGGAGGCTGAAGGTTATGAGCCTCCCATTTGTATACAGGGTAGCTGTGTTGGTCTGAAGCTGCAGAACAAAGCTGAGGTCCAGGGGCACCTTTAAGACCAACAAAGTTTTATTCAAGGTATAAGCTTTCATGTGCAAGCAGACTTCTTCAGATACAGCAAAAAAGAATTTCCTCAACCTCTACATATAGGGGGGGATTAGCTGCCAGGAAGGAATTTCCTGCTATTCACAGATCTTACCCACCACCTTAATCCAGTCTCAGCTACCCCATCACCCAATTTGTTGTTGAAGGCTTTCACGGCCGGAGTTCATTAGTTGCTGTAGATTTTCTCTCTGGGTGCGTTCAGATGGGGGCTTTACAACGGTATAGGTGCCGGTTGCAATCGTTGTACTTACCGGCGTTCACACGGCGAACATCTGCCTCCCGTCCCTAACCGTTGTAAAGCCCTTTAAACCATTGTACTCTGCCACTAGGTCCCAAGTGGTGGTATCCTGAGTACAACGGTTGTAAACACTGTACCCCGCCGTCTGATTGCTCTCCTCCGTTGCACAGCTACTTCCGATTTCCGATTTCCGCCCACCATTTTTTTTAAAGGACGGCGATATGCGCTTGGGCGAAGCTTCGCCCTGCCGTTTGTTTAAAAAAAATTAAAAGGGCCTTACTGTAGCGTTTCGGAGGCGTCCGGGACCTCAGGGAGGCTACTGTGCTCTTTAAGCTTTAAAGGTAAGTCCTTACCTTTAAAGTTTAAATGGAAGACCGGTTTTTTTGCCCATGCGCGAAGATCACCATTTTATGGATGGCTGCCTATGCGCATGCGCAAACTAAGTTAAAAAAACCCGACGACGAGTGTGGACGGGCGTATTGCGATGGGCTGCGCAGACAGGAGGTGTGATCGCGTTTCAGCCGGCATAAACCGCACCGGTTCCAACCGGTACAGTTTATGCTGGCTGAAACGGCGCGTTTGAACGCACCCTCTGTGTCAAGAGAGAGTATTCCATCTTTCTGTGTTTATACCTCTGAGGATGCCCATCACAGTTACTGGCGAAACGTCATGTTCTACAATGCCAAGACCACGGCCACACATCCCGGAAAATCTACAGCAACTAAATCACCCAGTTACTTATGCATCTTAACTCTAGCCCTTCTTGGCAACTAACCCCCCGCCCTCTCTTCCTATACATAATGGTTGAGGAAAATCTGTTTCACTGTATCTGATGAAGAGTGCTTGCACATGAAAGCTTATACCTTGAATAAAACTTTGTTGGTCTTAAAGGTGCCACAGGACTCAAACTTTGTCCTGCTGTTTGTGTGCAGACTTCTTTGAGCTCTTCCACCCAGCCAAAGAAAATTGCCAAGTTCAACAGGTATGACAGGACAGCTCAGTGGTGTGTATACATACATGCATATATACAGTACAGAACTTAAGCACCCCCATGCCTATCACAACTATTGCCCACTGTCTTACATGGCATAACAGAATGGGCTTGTCCTCCACTTTTACTTCCTTCTTGGAGCGAAAAATTATCTGGACCTGAGTAGGACGGTCATTGGCACCCAAATTCCCTTTCTGCGGCTGGATGGAGAACAGCGGACTCAGATTGGGTAATCCATGTTCTGTGGACTCTATAGAAAAACTAGAGCATAAGGACAAAATGTTGACTCCCTGACAGTAATCCGGGAGGATGGTAGACACTAAAGCAAACAGTGGTAAGAACAGTAAAGAAATCTTAAACTCATATCCGTAAAGACAGGTGGAATACGTGGGGCTGCCCCTGCCACTTCAACCAGCTGCATCTACAATGCCAGGAAACGCGCCATGTGTGGAACCGTGCCCTGATGTCTTCAGAGCACAGACATGCTGCTTTGGGGAATAGGAATTTAGAGAGACAGGTGTGGGACAGGGGAAGTAGGGGCCTACTGCT